CAAAGTTAACAAATATGAACATCTATTTACAATATTGAAACTTATGGATCCAAGAACATATAATTTGTTGACCTTATATCTGGTTTGTAATATAAAGTTACAATATTGAAGCTGATTAATTATATCGGAGAATTTATGATTTATTTTAAATAGACCAAAAGGGCAATTTGATGTTTATAATTTAACTGTACTAAAAGCTACCAAACTTTACGCTTCGTTTTTATCTGGGTTTATATTTTTTTCATTGAATCTTACATAACGCATAGGTCGAGCAAAAACGCACGCGCGTAACTCGTATCAAGGCGATCATTTTATTCCCTAAGAATGATGATGCGGTGACGGATCTGAGTCGAATTCTCACCGCATTATCATTTTCTTCGGCAACAAAAAGTGATCTAACTCCTTGATGCTTATGCTTATGAGTTATGGCATTATGGGAACCGGTCATTGAGCAATGATTTGATGTACAATGGCGAGTCGGAAGTAAGTGTCAGGATGCTTTTAAAGTGCCACTTTCTTTTGCCGCGATGGCCGGTGAATTCATAATCGTATGTTTTAGTTTGTGATACTCTCACAATTTTCGATTTTATGTTTTTAATGTTACTTGATCATTTTTTTTTAATTTTTCGCTTTGTAAAACATGTTTTTTAATTTTCTTTCTTATTTAAGTTAATTTAATATTCATTATATTTCGTAGTCCGTTTGACCAAATAACTTCATTCAATTAATTAATCTTTAATTAAGCTATTGGTTGAATAAAAACGCTAGTGTCCCAAGCGGGATTCGAACCCACGACGTTCGGCTAAATATGCCGCTCCTCTACCACTTGAGCTATCGTAACTTCGATCCACTCGGCCACCAACTTCCCATCTCAACCCACCCTACACGACATTTGAAAAATTGCAAAAAAGAGGAAAAATTCGATGGGAGACTTAAGATGGGAAGTTGGTGTCCGAGTGGATCGAGAAAACGATAGCTCAAGTGGCAGAGGAGCGGCGTATTTAGCCGAAGGTCGTGGGTTCGAATCCCGCTTATGACACTAGCTTTTTTATTTCAAACAATACCTTAATTAAAGATTAATTAATTTAATGTGTTATTTCTTATGTAACATATTTATGAAGTTCTTTTCAGAGGATCTTCGGAAGAGGAAGAGGATCCTCTGAAAAGAACTTCTTGTATCCAGCAGGTCGATAATCTATTTTCATCGTAACGTATTTATATATAAAAAGTAGCTATATTTATATGGAAATCTAGTTGAATAAGTGTTAATTTGAAGATTTTAAGCTCAGGAATTCGTTAAGTGCAGGAAGTTCATTTAAGGCTGAATCGTCGAAAGTCTCTTGGGGTGTAACGCAAACTCTTGTTAACCGGCCAAAAAGAAATTTTATTTAATGCCGTTGAAGAAGCACTCTTTAAGTCCGAGCAGGTGACACAACCGGAAACCGTCTCCCGGAAAGAGCCGGCACCACTTTTGACTTTTGACGGGTCTTTTTGTCGCGGACAAAACACGCGTTTGCGACTCCACTTATGCAATCGTGTGCTTCTCTCCCACCGTCGGATCGAAGGTTTGGTTATCTTCAAGAGACGATGTAAACGACGGCCTACCGCCTTTCTCTCTCAAACATCGTTACATCATTTCGTTCTTCAGCAGCCGGAGGAGGCTTCTCGAACCAACAAAATAACCTCTTTGCATCACATTTCAGATGGCAATAAAAGTGACAAAAAGTACTGAATTTTACTCAACAAAATTAAAGGTATATATATGTACTGGGCGATCCAGAATACAGTTGTCAAACCGTCATTTTTATGTTTAATAACGGGCAAATATAAACTTTTTCCTGGAAATGTCGTAAAATTGGCTCCAGCTCATACGTCCTTCTCGCTTTCCCTTTCTTCCATTGAGTTTCCTGAGCTCAGTCCTGCTTTCCTTTATGCCATTTCCATTTTTTTCAAACAATCTTTGGCAAAATGATTACTGTAGAGAAATTATGATTTTTGTCCAATTATATAATCATGACTTTTGTCCAAGGTCAATGCTGAAGGATATGGACATTCTTTTCCGCAACATTTCTAGTTATATTATTAGAAATCAGCAAATAGTTATTAATTATTCAGAAATCGTGAGATGCGGTCTGGTGTGATGTAGGTTTCAGAAAACCATTTTCTTTATTGTGCCAACATTTCGATCATTATTGAGATCATCTTCAGGGCCTGGGATTTACAAACATTGTTTAAATTTAACAAAAACATGTAGGATGTAGAAAAAAGTGAATTTATACAATGAAAAAAATATTTTTTTTATATTCAATCAAAGTATTTCTACTCACTCAAAGTGTTTGTTTTCTGCGTAGCGTTTCTGCGTTTTTGATTGAATATAAACAAATATTCTTTTGCATTGTATAAATTCACTTTTTTCCACATCCTACATATTTTTGTTAAATTTAAACAATGTTTGTAAATCCCAAGCCCTGAAGATGATCTCAATAAAGATCGAAACGTTGGCACGATAAAGAAAATGTTTTTCTGAAACCTACATCACACAAGACCACATCTCACGATTTCTGAATAATCATCGACTAACGGTCACTAATCACCACACATTTTTAATAGTGTACGGCAAAAGTTTAAACCAAAAACGCCAAAATTATAATTAATTTTTTGCTAAACGCATTAAAAATGTATCAACTTTTGTCAAACGCATTGTTAAGTCTAACGACAATGTGCTGCAATGAAAGTAATAACAGCTTTATTGCATTAAGCACGGACCTGGGTAAGGAAAAATTGCCAATCCATGTCAAGTATAAAATCCTCTTACGTAAGGATGCTCGTTATCTTTCCGCTGTAGAGATTTGCGTCTATTAAGAACACTAATAGCTCTTTCGTCACTACTTCGTAGTTCAACGTTCATATGATTTCTTTTTTTTTAAGGTTAACATTAATGAGTACATTAGTGAGTTTTTGTCTTTGACAAATTTGTAATTAACGGCACATAATCTCAGCCGATTGGTTAATGAGACATCATTTTTATAAGTGAATTACCGGTCGTCTTTAACGAGAAGAAATAGCAGTTCGGTCTCATTAATTATAAAAGATTGACAAACTTTCACTAAGGCGTTTTGAATTTAACATTGTCTTGAAGTTTCCGGGATGAAGATGTTTAATTTCAATTCTGACTGCCTGTTCAGTACCAGCATTGATGATAGCGAGAAGCCGAAACACTCCTGAAAGATTAGGATGTCCGAAATGTCAAAATTCTAGTATTGAATACCAAAATCAATAAAAATTTAAGATAAAATCTTGTCAGAATTCATAAAGCAGGGAAATTTTAATGCTGGATAGAAAAGAAGGCCTGTTGTCAGTTCCTACGTACTAAGCAGGAAGAATTAGTTGTTTTTCTGTGAAATATAACCATTCTGTTGTTAAGTAATTGTTTTAATATAGCTGAGAAGCATTAGAGGAAAAAGTGAACCTCCGAAATAATATTACGTCATGCTGAACCACGCGCAATATCCCATGAGAAAACATTAAAATCAACACATTAAAATTAAAAAGCGTAAAAAAAGAAAAGAAAAGGGTATTTAATTATAAATTAAAATTGTACTAAGGTTAAAATATATAAATTAGTACTTCATACATTTAGGTTATATTTTTTAGCCTTTAATAGAAAATAATGAACCTTGATTTTCTTACAATTGGAAAGAACTTGACCTTAGCTCTCATTTTTAAAAAATAAATGTATAATATTGAAACTAATATTAATTATATCTGAGATAGTTTATTATTTATTTTAAATAGACAAAGGGAAAAATTTGATGTCTTTAGTTTAACTACTCTTAAAGCTACCAAACTTTTAACTTCGTTTTTATTTGCAATTATATTTTTTCGTATAATTTTTGCCTGCTTTATGTAGAAATATTCAATAATAAAAGTATGATTTTGCGTGGACGTTTTGTAAGTTAATTAAATCTTTGATATGTTTTTATTACATAAACCACATTTTAATTCACTTGTAAATCGGAAGTACTCCTATGCAAAGTATTGACAAATATTACTAAATAAAATAGGAAGAAAGTGTATTTTTTGTCAATTAATTTTTCCCCTCCCCAATTTTCCACACAAGCTTTGCCCTGATTTTCTTCAAATGTTATTAGAACGAACTCAAGGTCGCCGGGTGATTTCATTTCTGTAGCTTTTTAAATATTGGGAAACCACTGGCGATTATGTACCTTGCCCCCTCCTCCACATCGTTTGAACTTTGAAGTTAAAAAGCACGACTTTTCTCAAGTTTCCGACGCTGAAAAGCGAGCGCGTGCCACACTCCAACGCTTCATTTGCGACTCTCATGTTTTCGATACGGCGAGTAGCAAGGAAAGCAGTGAAAGTATTTTTTACAAGTCTTAGAAAGCACAAGGCACCTATCACTTGGTACTTATTCGTTCCTTACTATTTGCACTGACCACAAATCACCTCGATCGATCAAAAAGCTTCAAATCGGTTGTATAATTTTATTACACTTATTTACTGAAGAAGAGATTAGAGCCTTAGAAATCGAACGCTTTTACTTTTCAGTTCGATCAAATCGTAGTTACGTCCCAACTTATTATTTCACACTCTCTTATTACAGATTATGTCATTTAATGCCTTCTCATACATGCAACATGAAATCGCTAAGAGTTTTTCATAATAAAAAAAGACATCAGAACCTTTTTGACAGAGAAACTTAAACAATATCAAAAATATCGCGAAACCAAGTTGTAAGTTCTCCTTCAAGTTTAAGGAATTAAAATTTTCCCAATGTAAGTTTTATCTGTAGTTTATGTGGCTGCAGGTATGACTTCTGTTGTAGATTTTAACGATGGGAATATTATCTTCAATGTAAAACCATTCAAGGCTGAGCGTAAGGTGTTTTTTTTTTAATCTTGTCACATACATTATTCATAATTAATTATTTAAAATTTTCACTTTCAAATGAGATACTGTATTTCAAGTTAGTTACTTACTTGACTTGATACATCTACGGGATGTGCTCCTACCAGTGCTATGGCCACACCGACAAAAAGTAAAAGGAATGTTGTCCTCATATTCCTAGAAAGAAAAATTAAAATTAAACTCAATCTCAAATAATAATGATTCAGTTAATTATAATTTGCAAAATCCTAGGTGTAATTGGAATCTAACGATTTGACAACTTAAAAAACACACAAAGTAATAATGTTCTTGAATTTTCAACTGCAACTTGTGAACTCACTAACAAAATGCTCTTACTTATTCAATTTTTTAAAATAAATAATAATATATATACGATTTGGGATCTGGTAATAGGATTTTCTAGTAAATGAATATACTTAATTATATGAAATATTATTTTTTGGGAAAAATGTTCAAAAAAGAAACACGCCAAGATTGAAAAAAACACCATTGAGTGACTCAAAGAATTTCGAATAATTTTGGAAATTATATGTACAAATGAGCCTTAATTGTGTTAGTTCTTTGATTTACCCTGATTTTTAAAATTTGTAATTGTCTTGTTTTTAAATTTTAAATTTACGTTGAAAATTAACAAAAATAAATATCTACTGTGTAAAGCTTTTGTCATGATGAGATTAGATGAGATTAGGGGACCGAGGTGGCCAAGAGGTTAGGGCGTCCGACTCTATGCCAAGCTAGCAGCCCTGGGTTCGAATCCCGGCACAGCCCATGGTTTTTTAAATTGAGAATATGAAAGAAATATTGTAAAGTAATTTGACCCGTCCGCGACACTCACAACGGATAGTTACTTTTCTTACTTACTTTACTTGAATGTTAAGATATGAAGAATCTTTATTTTGCGTTTTCAAAGTATCGTTTTATGGATAAATTTCATCATTAAACAAAAATTTATGACGAGTAAAAAGGCATAAAACTGCAGGACTGAAGAAGTTTGTGAAGATTTCTTAATTTTTACGTTTTTTATTAGTTCAGTACATTGTTAAGTTAGAAAATCTTTTTCTATTTAAGCTAGAAACTTTTCTATTTAAACTGTTTTCCTAGTGTAGTTTCATAAACAAAATTATAGTGAAACTTGTTATTCACGTTAATTGTAAGAAATTTGTCTAGAGTATCAATAACAAAAGTGTTGATTGGAGTGTTTATTTTATCTGTTTAATGTAAAGTATATTTACGAAGAAACTACAGGGTGTTGTCAGAAATCTTCTTAAACTACAGGGTGTTGTCAGAAATCTTCTTAAGTGGATGGTCCCGTGACAGTTCTTTGGCATACCCGACGGCTCAAAGGAGCGAGTTAAAAAGCCAATGACGCGGATAATCACCTCCGTGAAATCCTCAGTTCACGGCTAATCGGGTGGGCAAATAAAATTGAAGGAAATTGGGCGGCTAAGAGGATCGTTTGCTGTTGTCACGGGGTGTCACTTTCTATCCAATCTTCCGCCGCCACTTTGTGGTCTTTCCGTTCCAATGGGAAATCCGTGATTCGCTTTTTGTAAATGGTGGTTCTACTCACAGGTTTGTAGTAACTATCCGGATTTCAAGCATTAAACGCTCATCATCAGCCGAAGGACACACAAACACCTCTCTTGACATGATTTGAAGGAGTGCATCTCCTGAAAGAGATGGTCCTTAAATTCTCAAAATTTGTCCGTTTTAAGCAAGTGTTATTTAATTCTAGTTTTAATTTCTTTGCAACTTTGTCCTATTTATTTAATATTGCAATCGTTATAATTAAGTTTGTAAACCCCGCTTTTTGACAAGTTGTCAACCTTGTCTTTAGGTTTTGACAGGATATTTCTAAGTGAACCCGTAAGTCTAAAGCTACCCTAAAAGTTCCTTCTTCTAGTTTGAGAATTTTACTTACTTTTTCTGATAGTTTACGGATGTATGACGAGGAAAGAAAAACTAATGGTTTATTTTTTGGGGGTGACTGAGTCCCACTGTTGGTTCTTTAAAAGTTAATTTTTTTCTTCTTTTTACTAGTAACCTATCGTTAAATATTTCTTGATGTCTATTGTTTCTAGCCAATCTTTTAATTGTTTGTATTTTTTTTATAATTAGCAGGTGTTAATGGGAGTGTCAATCTGTGACGAGTCTGTGAGCCAAATGAAATCAGCAGCATTTTGGGTCCAAGAATTGTTGGTATCGTAGAGTCTATAGTTGTTGGTTTTCTACGTATGTCTATTTCAATTAGGTTATTTATTATGGACGGTCTTAAATCTAAAAAGATTAAGCAACCATCTTTATTTATTTTTAATGTAAAAAATTATTAATTGGAGGAATTTTGAACCATATACATAAAATATCTTGAGCATAGCGTTTAAAAAAACAACAAAAAAACGCTTCAATGAATTAATTATTTGATTTGAAAATAATTTTTTCAAAGATATCTATGAATATTTTGGCAAAAATTAGGGATAATCGAGACCCCATTGTATCTTTTTCATATGATCAAATTTATTATTAAATTTACAAAATTTAGATACAATTTAAGAGGTCTATTATATCATTTTTTACAAATTCGTTAATAGAGTTTTCCATAAGTTTGTGTTTATTGATTTAGTACATTATTTAACAGGTAAATTTGTAAATAAATTAGTAACATCTAATGACACTAAAACACAGTTGTTAGATATGTTTATGTTCTTTAACTGTTTTATCAATTCTAAAGAATTGTTAATAACGAATTTAGGTTTGAAATTAGTGTGGGTTTTAATTATTATATCTATTGTTATTTGTGTTTGTGGCAATTTGTAGCCTGGAGAATTATAAAAAGACACTGCTGGTATTAAGGTTTGTTTTCTTTGTGAATTTTGACCGTATCGTATAACATTGGGGTTTCGCGTTCATTGGTGTAAGTTTTTAACCTCAAATTGGTCATTTGAGAATAAAAAGTCAGTTTTTTAAAGCTGTTTGAAGTGTAGTTTTTAATTTTAAGGTAGGGTCTTTTAGCTGGTAATTATAAAAAAATTAGAAACAATTCAAACCTTAGCTATAAACAATGGAATATATATCGATAGGTTGCTAGTAAAAAGAATAAAAAAATAACTTTAAAAGAAGCAATAATCGGACTTTGCCACCCTACAAAAAATGAACCAATAGGTTTTTTCTTTCTTGCTTCATCATTGGTGAAGTATCAGAAAAAGTAGGTAAAATTTGAAACGAGAAAGTTTTAGAGTAGCTTCTAGAGGTAGGTGCACACTTAAAATATCCTCTCAAAACCTAAAGACAAGGTTAACCTAAATTAAAAAAACCACAATTTCAATTTAAATTTAAATACAAGAGAGTTATACAGTTTCAACTGAGGAAGGGAACTAGATTGGTTTGAAAAATGTGAAATAAAAAATGTAAATTAAACATGAAGATAAATGTATAAATAATATAATAGATTTTGATTTTCCTCCTATTTTAAACATTTACCTAAATAATATTTGACGTACAAATTAATCACTAATTTAAAATTATTTTCTTATAGTATTTATTAGGAAAATATTTACTTGTCTTGTAATTCACGTTTTACGCACGTTCAAAATTGAGCGGCATTAAAAACCAGCTTCTCATTGGAACGCCGGATTGGCGGGTTCACCCAAACAATTCATGTCGACAGACGTGTTTGTAACTCCTTCAAACTGATGATGAGCGTTTAATGCTTGAAATCAGGATCGTTGTAAAAAACAAATCTGCGAATAGAATCATAATTTACTAAACGTATATTGACCCCACTTTCATCTTTTCTATCCTTGATTCGCCTTATCGACAAATAGTGCCTTACAAAAGTAACGTTATACCGAAATTCCTTCCACGCCGCGTCGTGCCGATTTCAAATGGATATCGTTTCTCGGTTGACAATGACACAGAAAGACAAACTTTCTGAGCGGACAACGAAATCGGTTACGAAATCTTATTTTTAATTTATCCCGTTACTGTAGTTCGAGCTGTGAATCGAAATGCCCCTTTTTATCCATTTCGGGCGATGCTATCGAAAGTAAAAAATAAATTGTTGATTTCCAAGGAAGCGGCTGACGCCGTTTTCACAAGATTCATCATCCCAGTATAATTTGTTAAAACACCGTGAAGGTTGCTTATTTCTCAGCTTAATTTACCAAACAACTTCGCTTTACATCACGTATCACCTTTTTTTTTGTCTACACGGATTTCCCCATTAAAACGTCAAGTTCCTAATGCTTCCCGAGAGTGTTATAACATTGAAGTAAGACTGTATTATTACTTCACTTTTGTTCGAACAACCGTTATTGTCACCACGAAATGGATTCATTAGAAAAGCACCGGTACGTTATTTCGACCGGAAGCGCATCCGATTTTGCACAAACAGGAAAGAAAATTATTAGGTTGATTGTTATAGGTTGATTTCTCTCGTAGTGAATGTAACCAAGTCGGATTTTATTAATTCGTAAAATTATCAACGATTATTCCTACGTTTCGAAAGTGCACCAACCAAATGAGACGACATTTTTGATTTAGGAATTTTTAATTAAGTTTCATTATTACGGAAATATAGTAGACTAACCCTCCCCTATATGAGCAAAATATATGCATATATGAATAATTATAATATGATAGTAAAAAAAAGAAAAGGAAGTAACAGTTTAGATTATACAGAGTATGTGAAAATTGTAGCCCCTTGTTAATTTGAAAATTTACATTAATTAATTAATCCTGAGTTGCTCTAAGGAACACGACATGGCTGAACAGGGAGCGGGCTACTCTGAAAAAGAGACCAGTAAAAAAAAAAATTACGGTTGTAAAAGTGAATGTATCGAAGATTCACTATCACAGAGTTTCTCTATTTAACTGCTTTGAGAGAGATTTGCGGTTTCAAAAATAATTGATTCAAAGACCAAAATTTGATTTGGTCTGTTACGAAATTTTTAATCTAATCCTATAATTGAAAAAATTAATATCAGTGAGTTTCTTTGTTGTTCCATCGTATATTTTGTTTACACATAATGAAAATTTGTTGAAAATTTTATTACCAAACGTCATAAAAATCGATCATTTCATTTTGTAAAATTTATTTATGCTGAGGGATGACGCTATGTACGAATATATAATTTTCGGGACCGCGGTATTCGGTAGCCGAATAGTCAATCAATCAAAACATACTGTATTTTTTGTAAAAAAATAATACAGGGGTCTGCTTCATGTAAAATTAATATTTTTTCCTAAGGATGTACATGGATTTTTTTTCTTTATACATACCAATATTAGTATATACTATTATTATTATACTCATGTCATATACTATTATTATTATGTATTTAACCTTAAATTTTCTAATAAATTCATAATAATTTAAAAATAAATAAATTCATATAAAATTATAAATCCATAACAAAATTTTTCTCTTGTCTTTGGTATTGATTTGCACGCATATGAGACAGTTAATGCATTAGTTATATAATCAATCTATTAATTAAAAATCAATAACCTTGCATATCATATAATTAATTTATTGTACTATAGCTAAGCGATTAGCGCTTCAACTTCTCCGTCGTGAGTTCGATTCCCGCCGTCATCTGGAATTTCCGGCCCCCAAAAGTATTCTGATTATTGTTCGTTCCTTGGCTAGTATGTAAGACCATAAAACCATTAAACAAGATGTATATTCTTTTTTTATAAAGATTTCCTTTAAGAAATAATGTTTAAAATGGTAAAATCATACATTTTTTTATAGGTCCATCTAACAAAAAAAAAAAAAAAAAAAAAAATTAGTTGACAGAATCATGGTTTTTCTTTCTGAATTCAAATTAAATTTTTGGAAATTTGGCTTCAAATGTTATCAATTGAATAATAATTGAAGTTTATTGATATGTATCGAATTAAATATACTAAACTTTAAAGATGGTACAATATCCAAATCACAGCCACTATGGTCAAAGCAATAAACCACCTAGTTTTTTCTTTATTATTTTTTGTTTTTCTTTTATTAACGTCTAAGCTGACAAATATGTATATACACCCAATTAATCACATATGTTTCAAGGCTACCTTATTACGCCAACCGTTGCACAAACAACGCTCGAGGAATAGCAGAGGTCCTGTCAGCGTGATGTGTCAAACAAATGATAATTTAAAGACAAATTAGGCTTAGCGCGCGTCACGTACGACCTCTTATACAACGCGGATCATTCGAAAAAATAAAAGTCCACAAGCCCAAAACAGGCTTATTTTAGTTACAATATTGCAAAACATATATTAGAGAAAATCCTAGTAAACAGTAATTTTACTTGTAAGCTGTTTACAATCGTTCTATTTTGGGCGAAATGTTTTCGTAATTTTCCTTGTTAAGATGTGTAAGTTTTCGTAAACCTTTATTTTCACTCGTTAGGGCAATTAAGAGTCAATTGTTTGTCGACATTATTTTCAACAATATTACATTCCTTCAATATCTACAGACTTACAGTTTGAATATTTTCACAATGGAATAGATATTTTGAAAAACGTTTTTTTTTACTTTAAATCGATATGTTTTAAAATTGCACTAGAGAAGTCGATTATTATATTTTCCAGAAGAGAAATAAATTATTCGTACAGTTTCAGAGCGTCAAGCTGTATCACCCAATGAATAAATAATCCATAGGTCCATTTTTTTACGAAGACGTTTAACTACTTAAATCATACCTTGTAGCGAGATAATTGTCAACCAAGTTGTCCAGGGTGAAATCTACACTGAAATATACGCAGTGATGCCTGAAGGTTTTTTTTTCACTCCCACTCGCCCGGCTCAAGACAATGAATAGATCGGTATCGATTCTGAGAATCACGCCTTTTAATGCCGAAAATTAATTAGCTTGTCATTGCCTCCGTCCCTATGCCACGATATCGCGACACGCGTACGAGTCGTCCAAGGTAAATGGTAGAATTAATTCTACCTAATTAGCTTTTAAAAATGAAGGTGGTAAAATATTTAATATCTTGACAAATACCTAGTACCTTAGAGGAAAAATCCAATCGATTTTTATGAATAAATTATCTTATTTACATGTTTATTCAATAATAAACTTTCTATCAGAATTTATTTACCATAGAAATTTTCAAAGGGATTTTTCAATTTTGCGCTTGAGCTTTTATGTAGGAATGATTCATAATTAAGAGAAAGAGAAAAGAAATTTGATATTTTTGCCTCTTCTATGAAATAGCCACTAGCAAACTTGTTTTGTACCGATCTTTTTTAAATGCAGATCGAGTCCGTCGTCAGGACGTGCGGGACAGGACATCAAGGACCGACACAATGGATGACCATGGATATTATGTATTTATTGTTCGATCGCCAGTACGACAAGTGGAAAGTAGAAATTTTGGAAAGGACAAAAAAAAATTGAAATTTATCTCTTCTAAAATTAAGGAAAACAACAAGAAACTAGACTTAACCGATGGATTTCATACAAATAAATTTGTGGAAAGATTTCTTCCAAAAGCTCACGTTTGATTATGGTGGACAAAAAAGTTTGACAATAAAAATGTGCGTTTTTTTAAATTGTCTTATGTTTTTTTGGTCAATAATTATGTACAGTGAACAAAACCATATCGTTATACAAGAAAATCCGTGTAAACTTCGATGCTGTTCTTCGTTCAGGTAGTTGTGGTGAATATATAATCTAGTTTTGTTTGCTCACTCTCTATATTAAAAATGAGTGTATATTTTAGTTTTAACTATTCAATGGGCAAATAATATTACATAAAATATAAATAATATTTAAAAAAACAAACAATACATTTATAAAGAGAAATTTGAACTACAGTGTTGTCCAGTAATTTCGGCGGCCAACGGGATATGATTCATCGCGGAGAATTTCCAATTAAGAGCTTTATATAATCTTAGATTTTTGTTTCACAATTTCGAAAAGTGTCGAAAATAAAATCGAGGCCGTTCTCGCAATGGGCCTCTGCATTTGAGCGCGGAAATCCACAGATCCGGTTCTCAATTCAGATGTAGCTAGTTGTGTAAATAATACATATCGACTAATTAAACAGGTTACGCAATATTTCTATTAATTGCGGATAAAACTGATTATGAGAAGAAAGTCATATTTATAAACTTGACGGTTCACGCACAGGGACGCGATTTCACTTACAAAATCTTTCAAGTTTGTCAAGAATTTTGAACAAACTAAGAAAATTTTCGATTGATTTGATTTTACGATTTATGCATGTGAAACTTTGAAATGCTTGTAGTATTTTATATGTCTTGAAGTATTGCATAGCCAGTGTCATTTACGGCTCGGACTTCGTCGAATGGTCGCCGAGAGTGAAACTTTTGCCAGGCCAATTACATTACGTAAGGAACACTCCGTTATCTGGTCTATGTTCTTTCTCAATTCATTACTGTTTCAACATGGCATTAAATAATTTATAACCAAGGGTTTTAAAGTAAAGTTGGACAGTAGTGTTTTTCCTGTTGCCGTTTTGGCCTTGTACGGTTTGAAATATTTTTCCCAAAGGCCAATGATGCAAGGGGAGAGAACCAATGTGTTGGCATAAATCTTCAATTGTGGTTTGTTTTAAATCAAACGGTTTCCGAGATAATCGAAAATGCGATTTTTGAATAGGCAAATACAGTAATCGATCAAATTATTTAACGGGCACACCAAGGACTTTTTGAAACTTAACCAAGATAATTAAGAAAATGTTGAAATATTTGCATAAGGATAATCACATGGACATTTTGTCATATGAATAAATAAATATTAGTCATAAATCCATTATATTTCGTGGTCCGATTGACCAAATAATTTCAATTAATTAACCTTTTTATGTAATGTATTGGTTGAAATGAAAAAGTTAGTGTGTACTGTTAGTCCATCCTTTTAGTTTTTTAACCCAATTTGTTCTTTTTAACAATAAAATTATTTGCATACTTTTTTTCATTATGTATTTAAATTCCTTTGGAATCAAAAGTAACATTCGTTACTTTTCTTTGTTCTTTCAACCGATAGACTTGTAAATTTCCTTTAGAACTACTTTTTTAAGTGACTTGTTTATGTCTCTTCTTAGTAAACAATTACCAAATTTTTGGTTGGTTGTGCAATGTTTTTGAGCATGTTTTCTAAACATATAATAATATTGTGGAATCTAAGGATCTTCCTATAACTATTACATATTTCAATTAATTATTCTTTTTATGTAAGATCTTGTTTGAGATGGAAAAGTCACGAGCAGTATTCGAACCCACGACCCTCAATACGCCGCTGCTCTAACCACTTGACCTATCGTGACTTCGTTCCACTCGGACACCAACAGCCGAAGGTCTTGGGTTCGAATCCCGCTTATGTCACTAACCTTTTCATTTCAACCTATACCTTACATCAAAAGATTAATTAGACTTAAAGTTTAGTAACAAATTTAACAAATTTAGAAAGGTTTAAACTTTATATAAACAATGACTTGTAAAAATGGATTGAGTTTGTTCGATTTAATCTAGTTGTTTTCCTTCACAAATTGTAATTTGTAATGAAAAGTGTTACAATTTATAAATATATTTTGCCCCCGAGAGGCAAAACTGGAAGAGCCAAAAATCCAACATTCCAGGGTTAAGATTTTTACGTTAAGACCTTTAGTTTAAATTGAATTTTTGTAGTAAGTTTTATTTTTATTGTGCTCACGTTGTATCAAATTCAAAGAGGTTATCGTAGTAAGTAGGATTTGTTTAAATTTATATTTAAATATATCTTGAATTTCTGGTAATTATACCATTAAGCACCGACATTTATCTATTTTTAACACAAATGTAATGCATTAGCTGATTATTGTATCACTTTTGCAGTTCATTCACGTATACCTTCGATTAGCTAGTCGGGCAAAATATAATAAATCACGTATTAAAAACCATTATATTTTACAGATGAACTGCACCAATTAACTTGTTACCAACGCAAAAAAAATCATGCAGGTAAAAACTTAAAGTTCTTTGTCACACCTAGAAAAATATTCATTAGGACATAGGTAAATAGACTTATTATATTTCAGTATAATAGATATTTGACTTTACAAGTAGACAAGTAGAATTATAGAAATGTTGACGTAACTCTGAAGGCATACTGCGTTTGAAAAGGAATTGTTTCCTTATTGGCTTAAAAAAATATATGTATTATCAGGCGTAAAGACTTACTGGAATATGCACTTAACTCATTTTACAAAAATTTGACTAATCCAGTTTTGCTCCGAGGGTGCGGCATTAGATAGATATAACAATTGTTCGTCATCAGCTTGCTTAAATACCGTAATTAATTTTAATTTCCTATTATTGTGATGGCGAATGAGGTAGACGACGAGAAAAGGAGGCGGACCTGTGAAGATCGGTTCGAGCCGACCTTTCATTAACTAACAAAATAAAAGTTAACTTCACACAAAAAAATACTGTCAAGTAATAACAGTTTGCTTTTTACACGACAGTGCGTAGATGTTTAGACGGATTGAACCACAAATTGTGAAATGGATCGTCACTGTGACGATAACGAGGCGAGACGGATTGTGCAGCACTTCTTGTCGCCGCTTTTGCCTAAGTACGTTCTTCCTGTACTCTCCGACTCGTTTATTTTTGTTTTTGTCGGAAATTATTTACATAAATGACGGGTACGCGGGTACGAGATGGACGTTCGCGAACGCCGGAAAGTTTTCTTGGCTAAATTGCCGGCCTTGCCAATGAAAAAGACACCTGAGTCATTATGCTCATGGGAGCAATTTGTACTATTTCTTTGTTGATAATTGATATAATTCTTTTATCTAATATGAACTTGAACTTGAATGAGTCTGGCATTTAATTAAACCAAATTGCTTTCGTTTTTTATTTTGATTTTTAAGTGGTTCTTTTTGTCTCAAACAACAACCGAATATAAAAATTATCAGCTCATTCGTTGTTTTACATATAGCCAATTAAAACGCAATGGGAAATAATAATTTTCTGTTTTAAAAGCCTTGAGTTGTCTGAAAGTCGGAAGATTATCTTTATGTCATTACTGAGAGCTTTTTGTTCTCACTGGAAAATATATTCTCTTCTTAAATAGGAAAACTTATCATCTGTAAGAAATCGACATGAACAATCGTGAATTCATAATTTTAGTGGTTTTCTTAAACGCGTATTTGTTACGACACGATGGCCCAAAATTTACCTTTTATTAGCTTTATTAGACTGAAGGTCATTGTTTCCGATCATTTTGAACTGACTATACCCGTCGGTTTGGTTTTTATGAGACTCGATTCGGCTTCTCGCCATCTTCAGTGGTAATTTTTTCTAAACAACGTTGTATTAATAAACAATATAATGATAAAAATGTCCAGCACTTAAAATAGAGAAATAACAAACCAAACTTCAAATATTTCTTTTATGAACTTTTAATTCTCAAGAATATAAACTTTCTTGTCTTAACAGTTATTTTCCCTGTTTTTATATGTTTTTTCAATTATTTCCTAGTCTTGTTAAGTCAAATATTTATAGTTTAGTACTTACAGTAAACAGTTATGTACAATAAAATGAGATTTTTTATAAAGCTTTTTTTTTAGAAGTCTCAACCATCGTTAGTTAACCTATAATCTTTTACCTTTTTTACGACATAATAAAACTGTTAAATACCCAATCGTTTAAAGCTTATGATAATAAGCTCTCTAAGTGATGAAGCGACGCCCGGTCCAACAGGTTGAATGATGATTCGCTCCTATCGATTGATCATGTTTATACTAGTTTGTCAGTAGTTGGGAAACCTTTAATTTTCGAGTTGACAAAGGTTTGAAACACAGTTTGAAGAACGGTGAAAGTGTTATT